TCGATCTCTTGACCTCGTGATCCACCCGCCTGGGCCTCCCAAAGTGCTGGGATTACAGGCGTGAGCCACCGCGCTCGGCCTTTTTTATTTCTTTTAATTAAAAAAAATCTTTTTTAAAGGGGCAGAGGTCTTGCTGTGTTGCACAGGCTGGTCTTGAACTCTCACAATCCTCCATCTCGGCCTCCCAAAACCCTGGGATTCCAGGCTTCAGCCACTGCGCCCAGCATCTAAGCTCTATTGACTCTGCCTCCACATCACAACCCATCCCCACCGTCTTCCAGCACGCAGGTGCATCCAGCCCGCTCATTTCCTTCCTTCAGTTCTTGCCTCAGCCTTTGCAGATTGTCCAGCCCCACTGAACTTGGCCATGTCTGCCTGATTCTGCCTTTCTTGTTGCTGTTCCTGTTGCCTGGAACATCCCCAGGTGTCTGTTCCTCCTTCCGGATCAGGCCCAGATGTTCATGTCATCTCTGCCCTTCCCCACAGTGATATTTCCCCAACCGCGAGGCGGAATGGACTGTTTCCTCCCTCCAGGCTCTGTCTGGCTCTTTAGCTGAGGAACAAGTGTCACTCCTTGCTCTCCTGCCTGTACTGGGTCCCAGGGGCAGCCGGGAATCCAGCAGGCCTGTCCCTGTCTACACGGGGTATGGGATTCAAGGACCAGGATGAGCCGAGGCTGAACTCTCCTCTCCTTATCTCCCAGCAGATTCCGGAAACAAGGAAGAAGAAAGACAAAGGGAAGGGTCGGGAGCCCTGGAGAAATCCCTCCCTGTGGCCACAGGGCCTCCTGGGCTGAAGGCTCCCCAAGCCCCCTTTGGCAGGTTGGAGCTGCCATCCAAGACGCGTCGCTGGAGTCACCCCCGCTTCTTTGCCCATCCCCCTGTCCCACGAGCGGACCAGCGTCATGGCTGCTACGTGTGCGGGAAGAGCTTCGCCTGGCGCTCCACGCTGGTGGAGCACATCTATAGCCACAGAGGCGAGAAGCCCTTCTGCGCGGACTGCGGCAAGGGCTTCAGCCACGCTTCCTCCCTGAGCAAACACCGGGCCATCCATCGTGGGGAGCGGCCCCACCGCTGTCCCGAGTGTGGCCTGGCCTTCCTGCGCCGCACAGCGCTGACTTCGCACCTGCGCATCCACACAGGGGAGAAACCCTACAGCTGCCCGCAGTGTGGCCGCTGCTTCGGCCTGAAGACAGGCATGGCCAAGCACCAGTGGGTCCATCGGCCTGGGGGCGGTGGGCGCAGGGGCCGGCGCCCTGGGGGGCTGTCTGTGACCCTGACCCCTGGCCATGGGGACCTGGACCCACCTGTGGGCTTCCAGTTATACCCAGAGATATTCCAGGAGTGTGGGTGACCAGGTGTGATCTAGACATTGAGGGAGGCCTGAGATGGGCTCAGGGGCCCGAATCTCTGCAGCAGCCTGCAGGGAGGTCCTAGAGTCCCCGTCAAGAGCTGGCTCTGGGGTTCGGACAGTCGCATCTTGGGCTCTCAGCAGACTCCTCTGCCAGCGGCTTGCTCCCAGCTGCCCCGGGCTCTCGAAGGCCCCCTTTGCTGAGGCAGGGCTGAGGTGAGAACCCCGAGACCTCTATAAAGGGAAGCAAAAGCTGTTTCTCAGCCCAGAGATGCTAACAGGATTGAGGTAGAGAAGAACCTTGTTTTACCTATTGTCTTTTTTTTTCTTTTTTAATTTTTTGAGATGGAGTTTCCCTCTTGTTGCCCAGGCTGAAGTGCAATGGTGTGATCTCACTGCAACCTCCTCCTGGGTTCAAGCGATTCTCCCTGCCTCAGCCTCCCGAGTAGCTGGGATTATAGGCGCCTGCCACTATGCCCAGGTAATTTTTTTGTATTTTTAGCAGAGACAGGGTTTTACCATGTTGGTCAGGCTGGTCTCAAACTCCTGACCTCAAGTGATCCACCTGCCTCGGCCTCCCAAAGTGTTGTGAATACAGGAGTGAGCCAACTCGCCTGGACTTTTCTTATTCTTTGACCTTCCTAGAACAGAATACCCATAGTTTATTTTATTTATTTATTTTTTTGAGACAGAGTCTCGCTCTGTTACCAGGTGCCAGGCTGGAGTGCAGTGGCTCGAGCTCGGCTCATTGCAACCTCCACCTCACCGGTTTAAGCAATGCTTCTGCCTCAGCCTCCCAAGTAGCTGGGACTACAGGCACGCACCACGACGCCCAGCTATTTTTTTTTTTTTTTTAGTAGAGACGGGGTTTCACCATGTTGGCCAGGATGGTCTCGATCTCTTGACCTCGTCATCCACATGCCTCGGCCTCCCAAAGTGCTGGGATTACAGGCGTGAGCCACTGTGCCTGGCTATATATTTTTAAGACAGCATCTTGCTCCGTCACCCAGGCTGGAATGCAGTGGCGTGAACTGGGCTCACTGCAGCCTAGACATGCCGGGCTCAAGGAATCCTCCTGCCCCAGTCTCCCAGATGGCTGGGACTACAGGTGAGCAATACTACGCACAGCTAATTTTTAAATTTTTTGCAGAGATGGGGTTCCCCCTGTGTTGCTCAGGCTGGTCTCAAACCCCTGGGTTCAAGCAATTTGCCCACTTTGGCCTCCCAAAGTGCTGGAATCACAGGCGTGAGCTATCACACTGGCCTCCATTGTCTTTTTACTGCACAAGTCAAAAAAAACCAATGGCCCCATACTGGATCTGGCCTGCAGTTGCTGTATTGATTTGGGCCCAGGCAGTGTTTTTAAGTGATATAAATTAATGGTGAAGATTTAAAAGAATATTTTGCACCAAAATCCAGGTTTCTGGCATCTATTGAAAAATCCAAAGACTTAGCAACTCCACCGAGGCTCCCATAAAATCGCAGTTGTTGGGAGTTGGGCCGGAGCCAGAACTCCCAACTTCCTGTGGCCCAGCCACTCATCCCATCAGCTCCTGACCAAGCAACACTTGCCATTCATCATGGCTTGCTTTTAGTGTTTTTGACGTTTATCTTGAAGTACAGCAAAGAAGACAGGGAGCTTTTTCTTGAACCCATGTCTCTGTCAAAACAGGCCTTGCATCTTTCCTGTCTTTAGGTATTAGCCATCTTTACTGTCTTTTAAGTATGTGCCATCATGGGTAGAAGGAGCTAGGCCAGGAACATCTGGCGTTAATTTGTAGCCAGCAGCAACCATACCCACCTGTATTGCCAAGCTCTGCATGGAATCCCCCCCATCACCTCACTACTCCATTATTCATCTACCACTAATTCCTCTGTGGGCAGAGTCCAGTCATGGGCAGCTCCTGCCCTGCTTCTGGTCAGGACAACACCTGCCCGAGGGGAGCAAGGGCCTGTGACCTCTTTGGCCTGTGCGCCCTGGCCTGTCACCCAGCTCAGCCCTCTCTGGCCTACCCAGGGAGGAAGAAACCCGATTTACCACTTGAAAGGAGGTAGAAGTTTTGGCGAAAAGATGCTGTTCAGGTGCCAAGTGAAGTAATGAACTGATTCATTCCAACCTCTTCTCTAATCCGACCCCACCAAGGTCTGCCCTCTCTGAGCTTTTCTGGGGTGGGTTGACTTGTGTGCCACCTTATCACAGGGGCACATGGGTTTGGAAGAGACACCTTGGCAGTAGGAGCTACCTTTGTACCAGGTTTTAATTCCCAGTGTACATCCCAGTCCCCTCCCCTAACCCTCAGCACAGCCCAGGGAAAGCCCAGCTTGCAACACCTGTTCTCAGCCCAGACTGACAGCCAGATCTTGGCCCTGAGTTTGCCAATTAAAGGTGCCATGATTACTACCTCGAGGTCTCTGAGTGCTTTGAAGGTTGCAAAGCTTTTTTAGAGCCCAGAAGCCAGATCTGACCCCTCTGTTCCCTACTCTCATGACCCAACTTTCCACCATTTCGTCAATTTTTTTAGTGTCGTGAAAGCTTTAAGCCTCAGCCCACTCCATTCTCATCTCCTCAGTTCGTAGCATAGATATTTCCACCTAGAGGTAGGGCCTGGCTGAGTATCTTTTAAAAATGTAGCTACTCCCACCAGGAATGGTGGCTCACGCCTGCAGTCCCAGCACTTCAGGAGGCCAAGGCAAGTCAATCACCTGAGGTCAAGAGTTCAAGACCAGCCTGACCAATGTGGTGAAACTCCGTCTCTACTAAAATTACAAAAATTAGCCGGGTGTGGTGGCATGTGCTTGTAGTCCCAGCTACTTGGGAGGCTGAGGCAGGAGAATCACTTGGACTTGAGAGGGGGAGGTTGCAATGAGCCGAGATTGCACCACTGCACTGCAGCCCGGGTGACAGAGAAAGACTCCACCAAAAAAAAAAAAAAAAAAAAAAAAAAAAAAGCTGCTCCCTGGGCTCTGTTCCTCATCTATTAAATCAGAATCTCTAGGATGGAATTTTATGCCTGTGAAAGTTTGAGAGAACCACTGCTGGGAACAAAACATTATTTTCTATCTGCTTTTAATGTTGCAAGAGTAGTGGTTGGTCCCAGGGCATACACAAAGTCCTCCATTTCTCTATTCTTCTCAAAGGAAGAACAGCGGGCACATCGGGTGTGAAGAGCCACCTTGGCAGTAGGAGCTACCTTTGTAACAGGTTTTAATTACCAGTGTACATCCCAGTCCCCTCCCGTAACCCTCAGCACACCCTGGGGAAAGCCCAACTTGCAACATCAGTTCTCAGCCCAGACTGACAAGATCTCTGGCAGATCTTGGCCCTGAATTTGCCAATTAAAGGTGCCATGATTACTACCTAGAAGTCTCTTGAGTATGGAGAGGTCTCCGTTTCTCTGTTCTTCCCCTGTGGCATATCTGCTCTCTTCCTGGGTACCTATGATCATGCTTAATACACTGGGGCATCTCTTCTAGCATTGGATGGAAGGCCTTTAAGAGGGCTGGTCCTTTGCATGCAGGAAGGGAGCAGTGCATATGGAAGCTCTTCTCACTGAGAATGTGATGGCTTTCTCTAGCCTGCAGCATTGACCACATTGGCTGGACCATAAGCCTTGGCTGCACACTGAATGGCTCTGCCCTAGTGTTGTGCATGCCAGGAGATAATGCTGTGGACACAGTGACCACCTAACTCAGGACATGCGCAGGCCTCATCCTCAGGTATGCAGAGGTAGGACAAGGCCAGTGGACTCCCAAGTTTCTCCTGCCTTGGATTAGTTGGTGTTGGGTCAAGGTGCAGCCTTATCAGAGGCTTTCCTGGGCTTGGAGCCTCTCACTGCTGTGGCTGTGTGTCGGGTGGAGGCTGGCTTCCTTGTGAAGTCCCTGTGCATAGATGGCACTCTGGTGCTGGAGAAGGCTGGATGGAAGTGGGCCACTCTTACTCCAGGTGCCAGTGAGGGTGAATTTGCACGTGGAGATGCTGGTGCTGGAGCAGCTTGAAGTCTTGGCTCAACTTCTGCTACACCTGGACTTGTGGCCCATAATAAGAGTGCAGGCAGTGGACAGTGTCAGAATTGTGGCTGGAGGCCTTGCCACCCATTTTCAGGGTGTGGCTGCTCTCCTGCATGAATTTTGGTGGATCAACAAGTTGGATGTCAGAGAAAAGTGTCTTGTGAAGGAGACTTGTTTCCTACCTGTGTGAGTGCTTTCTGCATGACCTGAGGGTACGCCATATCCAGCTCTTCTCAAAACTGGTCCTTTTGTAGGCTGTTCTGCCTGTTTGGGCGCTAGTGCTGGACCATTATTAGCAAAGGTTTTAGGACAAACAGACATTGGGATGGGAGAGAGCTATGGAGCTGGAGTTCCTCCGGAGGGCAGAAAGTTCTCTACTGACCCACTTCATTTGTGGGATGAGCTCTTGTGATTTTATTTGTACACGTTTATTTCTTTTTTCTTTTCTTTCTTTCTTTCTTCTTTTTTTTTTTTTTGAGACGAAGTATTGCACTTGTTGCGCAGGCTGGAGTGTAATGGTGCTCTTGGCTCACCACAACCTCCGCCTCCCAGGTTCAAGTGATTCTCCTGCTTCACAAGTAGCTGATATTACAGACATATGCCACCACAACTGGCTAATTTTTGTATTTTTAGTAGAGATGGGGTTTCTCCATGTTGGTCAGGCTGGTCTCGAACTCCTGACCTCAGGTGATCCACTCGCCTTGGCCTTCCAAAGTGCTGGGATTACAGGCGTGAGCCACCGCGCCCCGCCGCTCTCCACTTTTTACCACTTGGCCTTCTCCAAGTTCTTGTTCTCATCCCTTCTCAAGAGAATAGAAAAGGCCATCCTTCCTCCCAGGCTCTTCCTTTCATTTGTCTGGGTAGGCGACAGAAAAACACAATCCGTGGCTCCTGCATCACACAGGGGCATCAGGCTCATTAACTGTCAAGAACGCTGCCCAACTTGTTTCAGCACGAAGGGTAGCCAAAAGACAAGAACTGGATGATATTAAGTTGTCTGTCCAGGCTCACTTTCTCAATTCAAAGATGCACCCGAGGCAGTGTTTCTCAGGTTCTCTTCCTCGGCAAGCCTCCATTCGAGTCAGACAAGACTGGAGCGTTGTTAGATGCCTGGAAGACCAGATGGTTCTCTCTGTCCATTTCTCCTCTGTATCACCATCACCTGGAAGGAATCCTGCCTCCCTGTGAGGAAATCCGGGAACTAGGGACTAAGACTGCCAAGGATTGAGTTAATCTCAGGCGCTGGGGAAGGTGGAGGCGAGAGACAAGGGGTGTGGGGCAGACAAGGAGGAAGGGTGTCTATCCTCTTATCTCCTGGTTTTCATAAAACATAATGGAGGGTAAGTGGGGGCGGGAAAAGTTTTGAAGGGACAGGTCCGGCTGGAGGGGAGACGCCTGAGGCACCACTCTCTCACTACCTCCTGCAGGCTCTTCTGGCGGACAGGGAAGGCGGACTCGACCGGAGCGACCCCGGCCAATCAGGAAGGCGCCTGGCGTTCCCTGGCGACCATTAGCGCCCCGCCGTCCGCTGGGTTGGAGGAGGCGGGGCGGCGAGAGCAGGAGCCCCATCGGCCAACCGCCGGGCTTCCTGGAGCGGAGAAGCGGTGCCTCTGGGAACCGGGGCGGGACTGTCTCCTTGGCAACGATCCTAGCCCTCCCGGAGGGAGGAGGGGGATCGGGAGAGCAGAGCGGGGCGGGGGCCGGAGGAACACGAGTGGGCGTGCAGGTGGTGGGAAGCGGAGTTCCAGGAGGGGGTCCCAGGCCCAGGGACTCGGCGAGGCCAAGGGGAGTCCATCTCTGTTCCCGAGGCGCGCCCGGCGCTGACCCGGAGGCCCGGTCGGGGAGGGAGCTAGACACCGCCCCCACTGGCGCCGGGAAGCGTCGCTCCTTCTCGCTGACCTTGGTCTCGCTTGTCGCCTCGCCCTTGGCCACACGCACCAACGACGCGGGGCCCGGGAAATGGACAGACGGGCCTCTGGAGGGACAGAGACCTAGAACATAGGCACACACACTGCCCCGGCAGCCCCGCGGGCTCCCGGGCGCCGGGTCCTCGCCCACCCCCAGGCCGGGGCCCTCTCGCCCGGGGTTAATGCCAACGAGTTTCCACCTCCAGCGGCTCCTAGAGAGGCCGCGGAGCGAGCCGGCTGGGGGACCTGGCCGCGGACGGACACTTCCTGTGCGGGGGTGGGGGGCCGGGCGGCCGTTGGACAGCGCTGCCCAGCCGGAGGCCGGGGGCCAGACGGCGGGGGCCCGGGCGGGAGCGGGGTCTGGGGGCGGCGGGGCGGGTCGCGAAGCCTCTCATCCCAGAGGCCGCGACGCCAGGGGGCTGGTGAGGGCCACCGGGAGGCCGAGACCTTGGGAGGGGGCGGGGCCGCGGACAGGGGAGGGGCCCGGCGCACGGGAGAGGCCCGGGGTCAAGACGTCCGGCCTCGGGGGCCCCGGCTGGACCGCCGCGTCCCCTGGGCAGTCCTGAGCTGGCGAGCGGCGGGCGGGGGCCCGGGGCTCAGGGAACCCAGGCCGGGTCGCAGGATCGGCCACCATCGCCGCCGCCGCCGCACTGGGAGCCCGCGGGGATGGAGCGGGAGGCGTCGCCGTGGGGCCTCGAGCCCCAGGATGTTCAGAGTTCTGACGAAATGAGGAGCCCCGAAGGGTCTCTCAGAGGTGAGGAGGGAGCGCCCATCTGAGGAGTGGACCTGCGTGCAGGAGAAGGGGCTGTGGCTCCATGGAGGGAGCGAGGGCACGGGGCTAGAACACCTGGGACTCGGAGGTGGGGGCGCTGGGGACTGGGGTGTCTGGGTCAGCTGAGGGGGGGCAAGGGAATTTCAGCACCTGTCTAGGGGCCAGCGACGCTGCTTGTGAGGGGGGAGGTGTGTGGCTGCTAATGGACCAAATGACCTTTCAGGTCCCACACCATCTGGATTTTCTGTAATTCTTTGATCCTGCAGGCAACATGAGTGAGAATGAAGAGGAAATTTCTCAGCAAGAAGGCACTGGGGACTATGAAGTCGAAGAGATACCTTTTGGACTTGAACCCCAAAGCCCTCGGTTTGAGCCACAAAGCCCAGAGTTTGAACCCCAAAGCCCCAGATTTGAGCCTGAAAGCCCGGGTTTTGAGTCCCGAAGCCCTGCGCTTGTGCCCCCAAGCCCTGAGTTTGCACCCAGAAGCCCTGAATCAGACTCTCAGAGCCCTGAGTTTGAATCCCAGAGCCCTAGGTATGAACCCCAAAGCCCTGGCTATGAACCCAAGAGCCCGGGCTATGAACCCCGGAGCCCTGGCTATGAACCTCGGAGCCCTGGCTATGAATCTGAGAGCTCTAGATATGAACCCCAGAACCCTGAGTTCAAAACCCAAACCCCAGAATTTGAAGCTCAAAGTTCCAAATTCCAGGAAGGTGAAGAGGTGCTTCTGAATCCTGAGGAAAAAAGTCCCTTGAATATCTCCTTAGGAGTTCACCCCCTGGACTCCTTCACTCAAGGGTTTGGGGAGCAGCCCACCGGGGGCCTGCCCATAGGGCCACCTTTTGAGATGCCCACAGGGGCCCTGCTGTCTACACCGCAGTTTGAGATGCTTCAGAATCCCCTGGGTCTCTCAGGAGCCCTTCGAGGTCCAGGCCGGCGGGGTGGCCGGGCCAGGGGGGGGCAGGGCCCTCGGCCTAACATCTGCGGCATCTGCGGAAAGAGCTTCGGGCGGGGCTCCACCCTGATCCAGCACCAGCGCATCCACACGGGTGAGAAGCCCTACAAATGTGAGGTCTGCAGCAAGGCCTTCTCTCAGAGCTCTGACCTCATCAAACACCAGCGCACCCACACGGGCGAGCGGCCCTACAAGTGTCCCCGTTGTGGCAAGGCCTTCGCTGACAGCTCTTACCTGCTTCGCCACCAGCGCACCCACTCTGGCCAGAAGCCCTACAAGTGCCCACATTGTGGCAAGGCCTTCGGCGACAGCTCCTACCTCCTGCGACACCAGCGTACCCACAGCCATGAGCGGCCCTACAGCTGCACTGAGTGCGGCAAGTGCTATAGCCAGAACTCATCCCTGCGTAGCCATCAGAGGGTGCACACCGGGCAGAGGCCCTTCAGCTGTGGCATCTGCGGCAAGAGCTTCTCCCAGCGGTCGGCCCTTATCCCCCATGCCCGCAGTCACGCCCGGGAGAAGCCATTCAAGTGCCCTGAGTGCGGCAAGCGCTTTGGCCAGAGCTCGGTGCTGGCCATCCACGCCCGCACCCACCTGCCAGGCCGCACCTACAGCTGCCCCGACTGCGGCAAGACCTTCAATCGCTCCTCCACGCTCATCCAGCACCAGCGCTCCCACACGGGCGAGCGGCCCTACAGGTGCGCCGTGTGCGGGAAGGGCTTTTGCCGCTCCTCCACACTGCTGCAGCATCACCGGGTCCACAGTGGCGAGCGGCCCTACAAGTGTGATGACTGCGGAAAGGCCTTCTCACAGAGCTCTGACCTCATCCGCCACCAGCGGACCCACGCGGCGGGCCGGCGCTGACCTGGGGCCCCAGCAGGAGTGGGAGGCATGGGCAGAAGATAAGGGGCCAGGGAGCTAGAGGAACCTTTAGGGAGGATAGTGGAGAAGCCACAGTAGAATGGAGGAGCTGAGGATGCTGGAAGAAGAGGGCCAGGGTGGAGGAAGTGACATACCCTGGAGACTTGTGGGAAATGGGTTGGAGGGAGGCCAGGCCGGCAGCGGGAGGCCCTGGGAGAAATGGAGAGAGGTCAGTGGAGGGCTGGCTTCGGCCACGGCTCTTCGGTAGGTGCCTGGCTTGGCAACGTGCTAGAACGGGGAGGGGGGAGGGTAGGGGGTTACCTAATTAGAATGGGGTAGCTTAGATTGGTAGCTGCTGAGACCCTTGTTGAGTCAGGAGCAGGTAAAGGGTAGGTGGGGTGGGGAGTGGGGCCCTGGGGTGGGGCCTGGGCCTCTGCCTGCAAACCCCAGCCTCCCTCGTCTTCCTCAGGATTTGGAGCCCCTGAGTTTGAGTTCAATAAAAACCTTTATGTGATAAATGAGACTTGTCCTTAAAATGTGTGTGTGGACAGTGCCCTAGGCAGCAAGAGACACCAGTTGTAGCCGGGAACTGCCAGGGCCTTATCTAGGAAGTGCTTTGCTGCTGCTGCTGTTAGAAAGGGAGTCTCGCCTGGCCTGGCCAACATGGTGAAACCCAGTCTCTACTAAAAATACAAAAAAAATCAGCCTGGTGTGGTGGCAGCCGCCTGTAATCCCAGCTACTTGGGAGGCTGAGGCAGGAGAATTGCTTGAAACCAGGAGGCAGAGGTTGCAGTGAGCCGAGATTGCACCACTGCACTCCAGGCTGGGCAGCAGAGCGAGAC